TTTTTCTTTTTGCTGTTCCAATTGGGTGATTTCTGCTATTTTGTCTTCTAAATCACTGATCCAATCCTCTGCTTCATCTAATCTACTAGTGATTCCTTCCAGTGTGTTCTTCATTTCAGTTATTGTACTCTTTAGTTCTAACTGGTTGTTTTTTATGATTTCTGTGTCCTTCTTTATGTCCTCCCTAAGTTCCTTAAACATTCTTTTCATCAGTGTTCTAAACTCTGTCTCTGAAAGGTTGGATACCTCTGTTTCATTTAGTTTAATTTCTTGAGGTTTCTTCTGATCTTTTACTTGGGACATGTTTCTTTGTTTCTTCATTCTGGCTGTGACTCTGATTGCTTTGATGTATTAGATCACTTAAAAAGAAAAAAAAGTAAGAAAGAAAAAGAAAAAAGAGAAAAAGAGGAAAAAAAGAAAAAAGAAAAAAAACAGCAGAAAGGCTCTCCGCCTGCTTTAATCTGCAGACCACTTGCTCAGCAATAGAGAGACTCTGGGTGACTCAGCACCAGCTGTTGGGGGGAAGGGCCCAGTGCCTCATGTGCTGACCTCCCTCTAGACTTGAAGTAAGCTTCCCACAATTAGTTGCTGTGTTTTGCAACCGTGCTCACCACCAAAACTCCTCACAGGTTGTTGCGGACTGTCTGCTGCTGTAAAAAACACTCTGTGGCCTGCGGAGGTAGGGGCCAGGGACCAGGGGCTCAGGGTGCCCCTGGTAACAACACTCTAGGTGGGCGGGGCAGGCCCCCAAGGCACCACAGGATGTGGTCAGTGGCCCCCACCAAGTCAGAGCAGCATACAGTCCTGCATTGGCAGCTAGCCCACACAAACTCACCAGGAAAGCTCCGGCTGAATCACGCAGGCACACAGCTCACGGCCCTACACTCCCAGGAAAACTCCTAGTCTCAGCCTGTCCCAATCAGCTGCTTGAAGATCAGGCCGAGCAGCCTTACAGCCAATCGCCACCCAGGCAACTCTGCATGCGCAGTGCGGAAATCTGGGACCTAAGGCAAGTTGCACACTCCCGGGTCTCAATAAGCAGTCTGTTGTAGTCGGAGTGCGCTTGCCCAGTGTTTCCCTGGATATGCAGCACAAACAGTATTGGAGGGTGGGGATCCAAGGCCGCATGCGTGCGCATGCACAGACTCTCACACACGCAGTCCTGCACCAATTCCAGCCGACCAATGGAGTCCCAGTCCTGAGCCTCTGCGGGAGGGCTCAGCCCTGAAAAAATGGCGCCCTCTTGTGCACTACTTGTGTGCAAGCTCCACACCAGGGGAACAATGGTCCCCAAAACCTCCAGCTCCTGTGCCAAAGGCACTCAGTTCAGTCCTTCCTGGAGGCTCCTGGGCCCTGCTCACAAAGCCACTCCCTCCACCAGGAACCAGGTGAGTGCTCACCAGCGAGTGAGTTGGTTTGCCGGCTCCACTGGTTCTCCAGCGGCCCTCAGCCTCACCGAGTTGACCAAAGAGAGTCCTCACTATTTTCTACTTCCAGCTATCGTAGAACTCCTCTTCCCTGCAAAGTAACTCTGGGCTTGTGAGCTTGGTTTGGGGCCGGAGGGTCTCGCCCCCAACCGGAGAAGCCTCCCCACCGCTG